AACACTGCCATTTGAGACAAATTATTTTGTGTTTTAATGCAGTGTGCAAAGAGGAAAAACTGGCATAAAACATAGCCAGAATTAAGAGAAAATATAAGTATCTCAAACGGAGAGAGAGAGAGAGAGAGAGAGAGCAACTTCAGCACCAAGGAGAGCAACTGAACTGCCTGATGAAGCACATCAGAATGCCCTCAGCTACACTTCTGCACTGCAGAGGAGCGCTTTGGCCCACCAAGACTTTGTGTGGGCAATGTAGTCTAGAGTTCCCAATGAAAACTGAGGCCCCATTCAATAAGTTGACACAGAAAGGGCTAGTGGTCCTCTGCATTTGGGCAAATCAAACAATGCAGTAACAAACCATGTGCAGCAAATGTTTGAGTAGATTAATTGAGGCTAGTTGACATTCTGGATGGGGCTTGATGGGAACTCTCTGTACTGAGATATGTGCTAAGTAATAAGTGGTGGCAGCTTGCCAGGGACCTATCGATATGCTGTCTTTACCTTCCATTTCAGCACAACATGTATAGTTTTAAAGAAAAAGGAGTAATGTGCGTTAAAGGTTGGGGTGGGGAATCTATATTAAAAACTATCTCAAAATACCGTAGTGATATTCTCACTATATCCTCACAATATTTCGACTTTTCACATTAGATCTGCATTAAAAGTACCAGTATAGTATATGTTGCTCAGCAATTCTCTGACACAGTGACCCTTCTCTATACAAAGATCTAACTATAACCTCTGGGTGTGTGTTCTCATGTTTCAGTCAATAGGTTTTTATACACCGAAACAATATTACATTAAGGATGTTAACAGTTTATGGATGTATCTGCTTGTCATTAAACCACTGAAGAACAATTTCAAATTTACATGAGATTGTTTAAAATTCAGATGCTAAAGCTGTGTGGTTCTTCTCTTAACATCCAGTGCTAGAACAAATCAGTTCAGCTGTTGTGCCCATGAAGAATTTGAAAAGGGGAAAAAGCCAGGGAAGACCTCCAGAATCCAGAAACAGTTAAGCGGCAGAGAATTAAAAGTGAGACATGGAAAGGGCATGGCTGCAATCCAGATGGGTTCAAGGGAGTTCATCTGGGTATACAGGAGGGGGGAAAAGCACATCTTAAATAATTAGGGGGCTGTTTTAAAAGCACACGGCTTATAAATTATGTCCGCATGCTGAGGGCTTTTCTACTTTTCCAAATAAAATTGCCACACATAAAGACGTTCTTTTCCGAATCAAGCTGGGAGGATTAGAATAGCTGGAATTAGCTTATCAAAGAAAAATTGGCTACTTCATTACAAATGGATCTACTAAATAACTGATTAAATTGTTTGTTTAGCTTTTACTTCAAGTTATTGCATATGATTTCATCCTGGCCTCTAACTGTTCTTAAGTTTGAAAAAAAAAAAGACAAACGATAATGACGTCATATTAAAGACTCATTGGGTCAAGGCCAAATTCGGAGAAATCCTGAGTACTTCTTTTCTAGGGAATATTATCTGTTACTAGCCAAAACTGAGCAAAAAAGAAAAACGACTTTATTGACAATAGCACAAATTGAGATCGAGAACATGCTAATGCTTTTAACTACATTGTCCTTCTTTAATAAGCCATTATCTTTGTCAGTATCAGGGTTACTCATGTCATTGTAATCAACTTTCATTATGTGGACAAACAAACAGCTGAAAAACCTATTCAAAAATCTTTTTGTGTGTATTGCAAAGAAAGTCATGCAAACGTGTAAACATGAGTGTTGGTAATTTTTTTTTTTTTTTTTTTTTTTTTTGGATGAACTAATCTTTTAAGGTCTTCTGGGGAGGTCAGATGGTTAGAGAACACATGGGATATTAAATAATATGGTTCTATACTGTTATTTACCATCCTGTCCAGAAGCTAGACGTTTGAGATGTTTGGCCTGAAAGTTTTTCCTTTACAAACATGCCATTATAGAACATGTCATTTTGCAAATGCTTTCGAATACAATGGATTGACTCCGTATCAGTCTCTAGAGCATTTCCCCAACTGTTGACAGCACGTCTGCATGGAGTAAATCCGTTCTCCCCTCTGCCATTTTGCAAGCCTTTTCATTTCGCCAACAGGCCTGGCCTCCTTACCCATGTTATTAGGATTTACTGACGAAACACACAAGCCCTACGACAACAAACAAGCAAAGAATGGAGACCCAGCACTTCTGCCACGGATATAGATGTGGCACACAATGAGGGTGGGGGATGGGACAAGAGAGGGAACGGGAGAGATGGAATAGTGGAAGCTCCTTGGAGTGGACAGGATTGGCAGTGGTCTCTTTGAGAAGGATTTGCATGTTCAAAGCAACCACGCAATCTTGTCGTGTTCTCAGCGAGAGGTGGCTTAAGAACACTTCTGAGACTTCAAATGAAGTTTCAGAAGTTAGATGAAGTTGAACCAAGCCTTTGGAAGTTTATAAGTGGGACAACGGTATGAAATCTGTACTCTGAGGATGAGAATAGTTTCACTCTACCATTACAGACTTCACAAAATATATTAATGTAAAAAGAAAATCTGCATCTGTATGTGTTTTGGACGAACTGCTGCTAGAATTTGGAGCATGTGTCCTATTGCAGTTGTACAGAGATAAATAAGGAATGATGTACAATCTCTAAAACAGGGAAGGAACCATCTTAATTAGGATCACATGGTGCCAGCGAAAAACTTCAGGTTGATCCTATACAGTTTGAAGTGTTCCGTGTGGAAAGCCAAAACAATTTTTGGTAAACCGAAAACGGACTGATAAACTAGCCACTGATAAAGGACATTCACACCAAGAATAACTAAATTAGTGTCCACAACAACAGACAATAATGTTCTGTTTGTTATAAGCACAAACTGCAGTAATGACATGTCATCTTTAAATCGAGCTCTTTTCTTATTCGCTCTTTTCTTATTTAGCTTTCTTCAGCTAGAAATAAATTATTATGAAAGTGATTTCAGTGACATTGTTCTTATCATTATAGCTGTGCTGTGTAGTGTACTTCACTATTCTCACATAATTAGAATGATTATAAAAATTTTGTAGTTCTAATCCTCGGTGTGAACAACCCTTAAAACTGACCTGGAGAGAAGGGGATTCTCTGTATGATAGTGAAGATAAGTAATCTATTCTATCTCATTGAGGGTAGTGTACACTACGTTGTGTGGATTGAGTGTGGCTCCATACATGATCACTTTCACCCATGATATTAGTTACAGCCGTAGTTGCTAAGTCTGGTCTTATTACTAACAAACCAATGGAGAGAAACGTGCTACTGTTTGTTTCATCCAGACCTTAATTTTAACATTTGAATGATGTCAGAGCGCATAGACTCGTTGGCAGTGCTTGAACACGTGCTGTGGTTTTGCTTCAGAATACCAGATATTGAGTTCTGGTGCTTTCTGTGCAGTAATCTCTCTAGTATTCAGCTTATTATTGTTCAAATGCGGTCGGTCATTCAGGTACTGATACAGAAAATGTGCATGCTCAGTGCACAACACTCAGCTGTAATGTTAAGAGTAGAATGAGTATGTTTTTCTAAATATATAACTCTCATTAACTCATTGGTGATTTTGAATTAAAATAGTAGCCCAGATAGCAAACTGACATTGAATCAACGTGGAAATATGACATCGAAACAACGTTGATCTGACATTGTTTTGCTCATCGAATTAACGTTGAACCAACGTCAGACGCGTCATTCTTTCAAAACTAACGGAAAATCAACTTGAAATCAACGCGTTGTTTCAACGTTATGAAAGCAAACCAATTTTCGATTTCGTTTAGCTTTGAAGAATGCCGCGTCTGACGTTGGTTCAACGTTAATTCGATGAGCAAATCAACGTTGTTTCAATGTCATGAGAGACGTCGTTTCCACGTTGATTCAATGTCAGTTTGCTGTCTGGGAGGCCTAATCACAAAGGGTCTTCCAAGCTGAAAATAAGCATTCTGTCATCTTTTCATTCAGCAATTCATTTTAATGTATAAAATATATGCGAAACATTATAAACATCTCTTATGTTTCGCATACAAGCATACAGTATTGAAAAGACCTGAGGATGAGTAAATGATGACAGGATTTTTAATTTAGGGTGAGCTATCCCTTTAAGTTCCTTTCGTCGTATAACACTGCACAGGGAGCAACCTTGGCGCCAAGTGTGGAATCATGCAGTTGTCTAAATATTAACAAACATTGTAGGGCCTTGTATCATTGTATAAACGCCGTTGCCGTATGTCGAACAAAACATTTGCCTGTTACGTCATGACAACCGCGCGAAACGCGGAGGATAACGTGTGTATCTCGACCTCAGGAAGACGGACAGGTGACGTCATGTACATGAGGAATTTTCAGCATCCCATAAGCGAGACAAAGGCCGTGTCAACCTAGTGAGTTGCCAACCTGGGTGTCACATTTTATTTTCACAATTAATCAGTGTTTCTGCCTGGTTTTAAACAAGACTTTGTTTGTTAGTATTTTACAGATAACATTTTTGTTTTAAGCATCAAAATAACGAACTTACGTGAACCAAACTATTGACAACGGGAAGAAAAATAAACAAAATTCTCCAAGGGGGGAAACTAGTGGCTATTATTATATTATTAGCCTACGATGTTTTACTGTGACAATACTCATAGCAATATTTATTGCAGTGTATGGTCGCGTGCAGCATTTTTGGGCAGCATGCGCCAGTGATGTCCAAAAATGCAGCCTAGGTAGGCAGCACGCTAGGTTTTAAGACTCGTCCAAATACATGCATGTTCACCCGAGCGGTAATAATGTTGAATTCTCGTTTCCTTGTCTTTTTTATTTATATTTTAACATCAGCACTATTGATCCTCTTTCAATCAATGCTTGTTCCCCGGGGACAATTGTTATTACCAGTATCCTGGGTTTCCTTGAATCCTTTGCGTCAAACGCCATCTAAGCTTGATCAAAACATACATCACATTAAAGAATAATCGAATGTATAAAAGAGTCGATTCTCTTACCTTTCTTTCATATGCAAGCTCACACGATCATTAATCCATCATAAATCAGAGATCGCTGCCTGGCTCGATCGCGTTTCCCACAACGTTGCAGGACGCATGAGGGGAAATAAATAAATATACCAGTAGCAGCAGCCCTGCCCGTTATTTCCTTGCGGAGGTGATGATAATTTGAGATGTAAACCTCTCCCAGTTCCAAAGCCGGAAAATACCAATTCATATGTTGTGTATGGAAAGAAATATTAAACAAGTGAATTAATGCGCTAGACTAAAATAACAGCCCGTTCATTCTGTTTCTCCACACAAAGCTTGCCTCCCACTCGCTGTCTCTCTCACATGCACACGCACACAAAACAGACCAATCCCATTTAAAGAGATAGCAGCAAAAATATCAATAATGCATTGCTTTAGGCTGGTGAGCATTGAATGTTTTGTGAGCGTTGGTTGAAACTCTTCCGATAAGAGAAAGATGAAGGCATTGTTTTTTTTTAAACGTTACCACGTTTACATGGTTTTCAAAATGCATAGATGAATAATAGCTATATTACACATGTAGAATACAATTATTACTAATCTTAATATGGCAGGTCGTTCTAGTTCTTAAATTTGATTAGCTTTGTGTTTTATTTTAAACTGGTCAGTGTTCCTTCTCAATCTGTTTGGCGTTCCAGACTGGGATCGATGTGGTGTAGCCCAGATTTACCCTCTTTAACTTATTTCCCCTCATTTGCTTATGTTTGTGCATAAAAATCTGTCTGGAGAAATATGTAATCCCTTACGCAAAATTCCTATTGAAATGACTGAATTTCAACCTTGAAAATTCACTAGACATCAGTGAATGTGACTGCAAATTCTCTGCATCACAGAAAAATTAATTACATGATAATAAATAATGTAATGCTTATTGCAAATAATGCTTGTTTACACTTATTTAAACTTCAACATATTTTTAAACCTATACATCTTAGAGACGCATTCCAATAAATACATCTGCCAGATAAAAAAAAAAACACACACACATCAAATAGACGTTTTGGTGATGTATGTGAGAAAGTGGGGATAATTTGTTCCTTGGTTTAGTTCAATCAAAATGAGAGTATGAATTAGTTCAAAGTTGCCCCAATTTACTAAAATGAGGGGACAAATTAAAAAGTTGTGGGAACAAATTCTCAATTCCTGCCCACTATTTAACTAAAACAAATGAGTGAATTATTAAATCGTGGCCACGATTGACTAAACCGAGAGAATGAATTCGTATTAAGTGGCCACAATATTTTTGTAGTAAGTTGAATCTGTCATTAACTGATTACAAATTAAAAATTGGATTATTTAAGGACAGTGTGGTGTGCAGTAGCAGATTGTTTTACTCATGCACACTCCGATCAGTCATTTCAGCATTGCCCAGAGGCATAGGCTGTATCCGACGCCCATTTTAGCTGCCATTACATAACATCATACTGGCTTCAGTGCTCAGCCAAGAAGTCTGCATCTCCTACAGCAGTAGATGAAATTTATGCCGAGGACCAACACAGACAGACAGACTTTTCCACTTTACACCTTGTTTTTAATCAGCAGATCTGTCAAATGTGAGTTGCAGCGTGCAACTGAGCTTGGGCGCAAGAATTCTTTGGTGCTACCTTTACTTGTTATGCATGCTGAGCGCATCCCGTGTCAGCCTCCACACGGAGTCAGAGAGCTAGAGAGCTGTCTATTTATAGCCCGCTCACTTGCTCCCACCCACTCCCAGCCTCCCTCATTGGACGGAGCCTGCACAACAAATGAAGAAATCCTATATGCCTATTAGGATCCTACTCAGTCCTTCAGCATAAATAATGGAGGGATTTTGGTGAGGGGAGAAGAAGTGCACCTTCTTAATAATGCATGGGTTGTAGGGGCAACTGTGCCTCACTGTCCCGATAGAGGAAGGTGGGGTGGATGACATGTGACTGTATTGTGTTTAATCATCTATTTAGGGTATATGGTCTCACTAGCCATCTGGCATACTGAATTTGTTTTCTTTAAGGGCTGCCCTGGGGGATTTGGTTAGTTCTTTTAAAATGAGAAGGAAGCAGTGTTGTCCTAAATCTTGTTCCATCACTTTTCCTACCCTTGGTTACGTGTTTTTTTGTCGTCCTCTGAATTGAAGGGTCTCTCCGTGGCTGGCACCAATCTCATCAGTCATGAGTTCATGGCGTACAAAGGATTCCCTCACAACCAGGCCCCGTCCTCGCAGACTAGCTCGCCATTGGTTTGCGTGTTTGTGTACTTTGACTGCAGGACAGGTCTAGGGAATCTCATAAAGATGTGCTTACTCTGGATTATTGTACAAAGCAGCTCAGAGACGGTTATGGTATGTCAATAAAAACGAGGTATGTGAGAGACCAGACTATAACTGCCAAAACTTGATGTTTTCCACCTTCTGCTTCGCTTCTTCGTATTATAACACTCGTGAATTTGTCTGGAAAATTCAGTAATAATGTGGTCCAGGTTTTCTTTGGGGAACTACACTGAATGATTTAAAGATTATAGGAGTATGTTTAACAAGAACATTTTAATTGTAGTTCTTATTTTTAAAAAAATTTAATTTAAATGAATGTGTTACTTGCCATTTCTTTGAACTTGCTAGAAAATTTCACAAATAATTACAGAGAAAAGGTTATAAATCTTATACACCATTTTTTTTTATAGTTGTGTAGTTTATAATACAAATTAAAGTAGGAGTGCCATATGCATGTAATAATTAAATTAATTTGAATCCAGCAATGGTAAACGATCATCAATGTTTTGTTTTGAATAATAATAAATAAAAAAATAACTGAACTTTTCAAATGAACAAATACAATACAGGTCAAATTGACAAGTAAATAACTGAAGCAAACGTTGTTAAATGTTACAGTAAATATTAAATAAATAAATCATTTTTTTTAAATGCAACATTTAAATGCTTTATTTTGACAGATCATTTTAAAATGCATTGGACATTTCACACATGAGAAGCCAGTGAACTTTAGACTGAATTTTATGGCCATGGCTGCCAATGAAATGAGCTGAGCAAAGTTGTCTTTTTAAAACACATCCTTCTCTTAATGCGAATATAACCCTAGTCAGGAATTTTATCTGTCCACTTTGGAGACTTTGTGGACAATGTGGAGTCCCTCAAGGCTCTATTCTACATGCTCCCATTAGGGTCCATTCTTAGGAAGTATGGCATTTCATTGCATTGTTATGCAGACAACATACAATTGTATCAGCCATTGAAATGAAAAGGTGCTAGCCTTTTAAAACTATTGTTTGATTGCCCCAAGGACATTAAAGCATAGATGTCCCTAAATTTCTTACATGTTCAAGAGCAAGACCGAAATCATGATGTTTGGTGCCAGCAGTACCGACAAGGCCCCTACATTGATCTGGTCTCTCTATTTACCTATGCTAGACCCACTGTTAAAAATCTTTTTTTGTCATTCAATGACCTCGAAATGGTTATAGATGATTTTATTTAGCATATCTTTATCTCGTTTAGACTATTGTAATGCCCTCTATTTTGGTGTCAGCAGGCCTCTCTTTCAGACTTGCAGATGGTGCAGAATACTGCAGCTCGATTTTTAACAGGTACGCACACACGGGAACACATTTCCTCCATATTGGCATCCTTGCATTGGCTTCCAGTGCATTTTAGGATTGATTTTAAGGTTTTAGTTTTTGCTTATCCTTAAATGGTTTTGCCCCTACCTACCTTTCTGACCTTATAAAACTGCATGTCCCATCAAGGTCTCTGAGGTCTGTCGACCACATGCTTCTGGCTGTCCCTAGAGTAAGGCTGAAGCACAGGAGAGATTTGCAGTTTCTGCCCTAAATTCTGGAATACCTTACCACTGTCTGAGGCCCCAACACTGTCTGCTTTTAAATCTAATCCTAAAACATTTTCTTTCTTTGACATTTAATTCAGTTTGAGATTTCTTTTCCTGTTGTGTTGACCTAAAACTCCATTATTAGTGTGCTTTGATGTGGTCTAGAAATAACCAAACCTTGAAACTAGTCCTCCATTCAATTTTTCTCAAAAGCCAGCATGACAAAAATGCAAAGTATGTGGCTGTTTAAACTCCCATCAAATTTTTTGGTGCAAATCTCATTTTTTGTCATGAGGAGGCAAAATGACAGCTGGATCATGTATAATTATGCAAAAATCAAAAAGTACAGAGTAGGAGACACCTGGCAATGCTTGGCTCATTTGGACAGTCAAATCAATCCACCAACTGTAAACTGTGGTCAGGAGGGTTAACAGAGTAAACCTGAGAGTGAGTTTGACAATCTTTATGTGATAAGCATGCAAACATTTGCAGGATATTTCAACCATATGAAAATTACTGCAACTATTTCCATAATTTTTTTTTTTTTTTTTTGTCAGGACAAAGGCAAGGGCAAGGGAATCTTGGCCCGTGTAATCCACAGGGACTCCATGCCCTGGAACATTAAATCCAATATCCCATTCACCGGAATAACAATCACACATACTGATCCCATGCATCTGGCTAGAGACTGAACAGACCAGCTGTATAGTTGGCTTGTTTTAAAAGATTCTCTGTGGGGCTGGAAAAAAATAGTATCCATTTTAAATAGTATCCAAATCATGATAGATGCATACAATTACTAATAATAATAATAACAATGTTTAATTTCTATAGCGCCTTTACAGAACTCGAGGATGCTTTACAATATTGGTACAAATAAAAATAGACGCACTATATCAGACTGTATGTCAATTTAATCATTGGTAAATATTTTCTACTTTATTTTAGTACTGTCAAATCGATTAATCACATCTAACATAAGTTTGTAAATATATATGTGTGTGTGTGTGTGTGTGTGCATGTATACTTATATTTCTGCAAATATATATTTATATTTACATTACTTTTATGTTAGATGCTATTAATTGCAAATTAAGCGATTTGACCTAATATACACTGATTTTATATACAGTTTATGTTTAAGGAAGAGGGTCCCTTAAGGTGATTGATTTATTTGGAGGTCCCTGGCATTAAAAAGTTTGAAAACTCCAGATTATGAGAAATTATACTGCGAAATCATTTCCACTGACTAAGGCAAATACCACGTCATGGACTTTGTTATGTGTAAAAATGAACATATGATCCTTTTGCAAACATAAAGAGTTTTGTGAAGATAATCTAGTATAGCACACTCAAAATACATCGCATGCTTTATAAAGCAGGATTTCAAGCTGTCTGTGTTTTTGTATGTACTGTGGGTCGACAACAGCCAATCAGATCGCTCTCTACTCAAGCCTTACATTTCATCCAGATGTCACTGACCACGGGCGTCA